AGTGTGAGATTTCTGCGATTGTGAAACTGTGTAGCCTTCGATAATAATGGCGGCACGCCTATGTTGTTTATCCAAGTGCTCTCGGTCAGCCTTAACGCAGGAGTACCATCGGGGGCACCCAACGAGAATAAAGTGCAAAACCACTTAAAGATAGCATTGTTAAACGTATTTTAGTATTTAAACGGTAGATATAGGCATATTTTTATCCCCTAAAAGGTTTTCATCTGTTCGGATTTCCTAGCTGAAAGTCTAGTGATCCGAAAATTATAGGGATCAAAACTCACCTTTTCGAAAATTCCAGCCAAAAAAAATGCTCCCGAAAATTCTAGGTGACCTTTTTAGGGTAAGTGTTAGGTTATTAAGTGTTAAACACGACTCACGCGGAATGACCTTGCGCGCTTTACGAAGGCATGCCGAGCTTTGCCGATATTTTGCACCCGATGTAGTCTATGTGGTCATTCCACGAGAGGTATGGTATGGTAACGCCGAGATACTTAGGATAGACTCGTGATGGGACAGTGTCCCCTGCTCTGACTGTGAAACTATCAACCAGGGCAAGCCTCTGATGTGTACCAGTCAACATTACCTTAGTTTTGCTATAGTTAAGGTAGAGAAAGTTATTATTAAGCCACTCTATTATATGCTTAAGATCTTCGGATGGCACAGATTCTATGTCGGTGATGGAACTACTGCTAACCTATAGGAGGGTATCATCCGCATACAATTGGATTTTACAATCCTTTACCACCGACGGTACATCGTTGATGTAGATTATAAATAACAAAAAGGATTGGGGATTAGATGTTGATCCATTCACTACAACGCTTTGTGTCCTATCTGACAAGTCAAGTGATGGTTGGGGTAGCGAAAAACCAAAAACAAAAATTCGAGCAAGAGAAAATGTCCCCCAAAAAAATTTATGCAAAGTGAAACCCAAAGGAAAAAATTCATACATGACAAAGTGCTCAACCTCTGTGCACCTCGATTAAAAAGTGGAGCAAAAGAAGCAAGGATGATTATAACCTGTGATCAGGCCCAATTTTAGCAGTTCTCAGCATTTTCTCTTACGAAGACTCTTTTCGTTTCGCCTTGCCCGCCGGATAGGACTGATATTACCAAGGACTCACAAAGGATAGAGAAAATTTCTCTGTTCTTGCTACCAACTGTTCGCTTTGGTAAGCCCACCCGGTTTTGCTTTATTTACTATTATATCCACGTGATTCGACACTTACTTACTCACTTACTTACCGATACTTACTTTCTTGTGCTATAGCAGCTATAGTTTGTGTCCTAGTGTGTTTGTTTCTTTGTTTGTCTTTTTTTTTGTTTTTGAAGCGATCTGGGCTGGTTTTGCGATCCTGTCCTGTGTCACTAAGTCCGTTTGACTTTCATATAGAGAGCTCGAAATGCTGTGATAAGTGAATTTCCGGTCTAGCATAACGCACGATCACCTAATTTTGAGGCCCCTGATTCGTGTTTCTTTCGGAAAGTATTCGTGAAAAAACCGAATCGAATTTAGCTGCTAATATATCTATTCATATAGTGATCCACATTGCAACATGCCAAACAATGATCTTGAGTGGAGAACGCATTTTCTCAGGCTGGGCTGATATGTTTCTAAGACCGTGTTTACATGGAGTGGGGGACCCCGGTCTAGTGGGGAAAGTTTCTTTTGTTTTGTGCCCCTCAGAGCGTGAAAACAAAAGAAACCAACCCCACTAGACCGGGGTCCCCCACTCCATGTAAACAGGGTCTAAGATTGTTCTAAAGCTTTACCCGCAATCTTGTCAACGCTCAGAAAAAAAAACGTGAACTGAAACCGCACAAGACCTAACACTCACTGATTGAATTCCTGGAGATAATTTTCGGCAATAATGGATGTTAGATACATGATTCGTGATATGTAGGAAAGCAGGGTCCTTATTCGTGACTGGGACCTCCATTCAATGGCTAATTGAGGGATTAACTAGACTTGTTTTAACACTTATTTAATGTATAAATTAAATTGAAAGGGAGATCTTTATTTACAAAAAAGTCAAATTAGTGTATTTACAGTGGTCAATCTCTTCACGGTATAAAAACCGTGTACGAACAATCTTGCTCAACGTCGGATCCAAAAAGATCGTGATCACTCAAAATAGATAAAATTGAAGAAGACTTTTGCAGGGTCTGATCAAACAAGGTGAAACAGAGTTAAGTTGCGATATTTCGACTGGCCAATACCAGTCTTCATCAGGTTTATTGAGATATCACGAATTTACAGAAACATATATGAAGTAAAATAATGACCGGAAATTACACAATATGACGTGGTATGGTGTGGCTACTTAAAAAGACAAGATAACAAAAAAATAAAAGATATACTATATATAGTTACAGTTCGTCACGTTTATTGATGCCCAGAGGCTCAATTGTCTTAGCTTTATGGATAAGGTGGGCTTCACGTGCTCTCCTGAAAGAATCACGCCCATTTTTAAGTTTTTCAATAGGAATCAAAAGCATATCATTGTCGGAATGCATATGATTGCTGGTAAGAAAGTGTTCTGAAACTGCAGTATGGATGTAATTACCAGTAGGGTTGAGTATAGGTCGTCTGTGTTCATTAAAACTGTCTTTGAGGCGACGTTTAGTTTCTCCAATATATTGTAGATTACACAGGCGACATTGAATCAAATAGATAACATTAAAAGTGTGACAAGTGATATAAGATTTACTTTATACAACTTTATTTTCAAAAACGAAAAAACTTAATTTACAAAAAAAAAAACCACTTACTTAACTTTTAGCAAAAATCACTAGGAAAAAACGAATTCGCCAAATCCGGTACAAGCTGATAGCATGCATGAGATCAAGATGTCTGTAGCACAAAGTATAATTAGTAGTGTTTTAAACTAAGGGAAAAAGGGCATTGTTCATTTGTCAGAATTGACCGGCAGCCAGACCGTTCCCATTGTAACAAGAAAAACGGTAAGGTAGAGGCGCGCATGAGCCCAAGGCCCACACGGCCGGAGCTTACACCGGTTTCCATAGCATGAAGCAAGCCTAGGAGTATTGCTACTCCCCTACTGGACGGGATCCTAGTCCACCGCAGGGTTATAAATATCATGGTGTTGAAATAGATCAATCGTTAACTAGGAGAGATCATGTAGACAAAATTGCTAAGAAAGCTTCTGGAGGGATTGGAGTTCTGAGACGTGTAAGGCATCTCATACCTTATCATACATTAATTACGATGTTTAAATCCATTGTACTATCGTATTTCGATTATTGTAGTATAGTGTGGGGAAGTTGTGGGGAAGGGATGCGTAACAGACTCCAGACCCTCCAAAATAGACCTGCCAGGGTGGTAACGTCCTCTAGTTACCATAGGCGATCAGTTGAGATACTGGATGAACTTGGGTGGGATAGTCTTGAGACACGAAGGACAAGGCAATTAGCCACAATAATGTATAAATTGAAAAATCACATTGCAACAGATCATTTGGCTCAAATTTTTAATGGTACAATCTGTATGTACTCCTTTACTCCTAATCTAAGGAACTCAAAACATAATTTGTTTCTACCAAGACTGTATACTGAGGCTGAAAAAAAAAAACAGCTTCCACTATAGAAGAGCGGTTCTCTGGAATAGTCTATCAAACGCCGTAAAAGGACACACAAGCTTGAAATTATTTCTCTCGCATTTGTAATTTTAGAACCATTTTAATAACTATACTTATCTAATGTTATTTTATTGCATGATTTTTGCACGGTTCTCTGGAAGAGCATTTTTATGAATGAGATTCCGTGATTAAATGAAGATGATGATGATGATGATGATGATGATGATGATGATGACCCCCCAGCAGTATGTCGCCGGTACCCATTATACATCTGGGCAGACAACAAAGTGGAGTAAAATTCCTTTTCTAACGAATCAACGCGACGGGCGAGGCTTGAAGCCCGGACCTCCAGATCCAGAGTTCGAGGTGTTAACCGCTCAGTCACACACGCCTCCACGTTGTAATGAGAACTACTCTTTTAACTAAAAATGTCCAGCCTGAGATGAGTCAATTTGTGAATAATATGCATCGGTTGATATGTATTAATTTTAGCCAAAACTCCTTTAAAAAGCCTATTTCAATTACGAAATAACCGGTCCGGCGCCCTAACACTAGTACGTTTTAATTTATTAGTTAATACACTATAGCAAATTATAAAAAGACTCTCACGAAGTAACTAATTTTACTATAACCAATATATATTACTTGATGTACCAAAATAGAGGCAGTGGCCTTGGTAATATATTAACATACAATGGTAAGAAAAATACTCTGATAAATTACTTCTACTATATTAAAATACTTACATAGTATGATAAGGAATTGGTGTTCCCCAGCGACGAGGCGTAATTAGAGGCTTCTGTATTCGCAAACTAGTTAAGGATTGCTGTCATTCAGAAATTAGTCTTAAACATTAATAACTTGTCAATGAAAGAGTTATTCGAGGCTGAAAATATTTACAGATTGATAAAAGCGCACCAGAAACAGGAACAATTCTTAAAGAACAAACTCGATTAGAAAAGTCTTTGACTAAGTTCTGTGTTAAGGAATATCTTTAAAAAGGATTGATCCTATACGAATAAATTCTACTCAGTATGGAACCTGACACTGAATATTTTCAAAGACTGCAGGCAAGGAACAACTGGAGCAAAAATTGTTCTTAACCTCTAAATACTAATGAAATTGCTAGGAAAAGAATTTTGACCTGTATACTGACAGACGTTAAAACCGAGTGTTCACACGCTACAGTCACAGTCATATCATCAGCGACATGACTCAAAGAGAGAGAAACTAGGTAATCATTAGTACACGTATTTTCCAAGGATTTTTACAACAACAGGGTCTAATGGTGGAGTATTTACAGGGCACTGCAGGCAAGGTGCTGGCCCTAAAAACCAAGTTCTATTAAGAAAACTACAGTAATTTATCTAAGAAATTGAGGAGGCTGCATGAATTGTT